AATCTTCTTAACCCGACAGTTTACCAAATTTCCGGCTATAACGAGTCCGTCAACATGTCCAGGAAACACACCATGCATGTCCTCATTTGTAAAATACAGTAGAGGGGGATCCGGCTTGCTCGAATCCTCTTTGAATCTAGGACGGTCTCGAATCGAAAGGACCTCCTTGAAGTATTTCCTTCTTGCGCTTATAGTGTCTCCACCTCCTCCAAGGGCTCCACTAATTACATTGCAATCAAATTTCGCTTCTGGGAACTCATCAAAATTGGGATCATCTTTGCGATCTCTCTCATCTTTGTTCTTCTTTCCAGGAACTGGGCTTTTACTTCTCCTTCTATTTCCTGGCTTCCTTTTGTTGCTTTTGGACCCTTGGGTTTTAATCACGTATTGTCGTAATCTACCATCTCTTACAAACTTCTCCAAAGCATCCCGGAGATCCCAACACTGATCAGTTGTGTGACCTGACCCATCATGAAAGGCACAATATTTGGACTTATCTAAGCCTCCTCTGTCAAATACGGGTCGGGGTCTCTCCACCTTCTTCATCTCTGTCATGGCTACTTCTCTCCAAATTTGAGAACGCGACACATTCAAAGGGGTATACTTGTCATACCTCCCCACGCGGTCCCTCATGTTCGAGATTCGTGGGCGTTGATCTTTCTTCTTATTGTCAATTCATTCCTTTCCCTTTGGGGTCGAGCTCCTCATTCTCGGGCTGCCTCTTTTGTCCTCATTAGACTGCGCATTTGCAATCTCCATTTGCTCTAGTTCGAGATATTTTTTCGAACGAGTTCTAAATTCCTCTAACGTCCTCACTGGTTCTTTATAGACCGACTTGGCTAGTCTGGATGCACCATCGAAACCCGCCACAATGAGGCGAACATGGACATTCTCTTGCAGCCCTGGGACCTGCAACGCAACATCCTTGAACCAATTAAGATATTTCTGGAGGGTTTCTCCGGGTTGCTGTCGTATCTTTCTGAGAGCGAACTCGGACTTCATATGCTTTTTGCTAGTTGCAAAGTTCAAGAGGAACTTCTGTCCGAATTCTTCAAACGAACCCGATGGAATTAGCAGGAAGGGTTGAAAACCATGCTTGCGCTGCTCCAGTCAGTGTTATGGAAAATATCCGGGATATGAGAGGTTCGTCAATTCCTCAGATGTACATATCCGTGTCGAAAGCATCTATATGGACCTGCGGATCCTGGCTCCCATCGTACTTTGGCAGACGTGCCGAGTCAAAATCCTCCGGGAAGACAGCGTTTAGTATTTCACCAGTAAATGGGCTATTGTTGTACTGCCCCCTGCTTTACTTCCTCCTATACCCGCCAGGTTCTACCCTACCTCGGATATCTTGAGCGTTTCGTGCAGGAAGGATTCTAATTCGGTCCTCTTGACCATCAACTTGCGCCTGATGGTTTTGAGCATTTTGGCCATTAACAGCCTGACGATTCGGGTTTGCTGCGTTCACAAGATTGGGCCTGTTATGATCTTCTGTATTGGGAACTCGGTTTGGGAGAACCATGTTCCGAGCTCCTTCACGGCCATTAACAAGTTGGTCGTCAGCTTCAGTTGCTCTTGGTCCAGTCAAGTGCGTTAAACGCTGCTCCATATCTCGCATTCCTCTGTTATTCTCCTCCCGTATAGCCCTGAAATCCTGCTGCCGTTGCAAGTTATTACGATTCTCCATCTCCGTTATTCGTTCCATGAATGCAGCGAACGTGTTGTTGGCCAACCGAGTACCCGGATCAGCCGATTGAGCGATACGCGCAGCCAGATCTCCAGGATGCAGGGAAGGGTTGGTTCTTGTTGGAGCTACGTTCGCCCCAGCCCCCTATCTCGACGCGCTGGAGTTGAAGCGGTATCTGAGACATCGTCTTCGACCTGGACGTGGTCGTAATCCACGTTATTTTCAATCTGGTTCGGAGGCTGGTTTACCTCTTCCAGGACTGGATCCAATGGTTGATTCCGGTTCGGGGGTGGCTGCTGGCTACTGCTCCTCGTCTGAATTGCCATTCCTTCTCAGATTTTGGTGGGAACTTCAAATTCAAAGAAGAAAGTTCCCCACAAACGGCGCCAATGTTCTGTCCTTGAGACAAAGATGTCTAGCCCAATAGGCTAGTATGTTGATCTTGGATCTGGTGCCCTCTCCAAGGTATCTATGGATGAGATACCCTTGAGTCAAGCAGATCACTGTGCACAAAATACTATAACGGCGTTAGCCAATGGGGTGTGTGTGCGCACAATGATAGCATAATAGTAAGAGAGAGAACGTACGTACCTTTAGTGTTTACCTTTGCATTTATAGAGGTTACCTGTAGGTAGTGTGGATTAGCTTTTGGTTCCTCCGGTGAGGGTCCAGGCCTGATAGCTATGCTGTCGCATTAGAATTAGTATCTTTGATGGATATCTATCCTTTATTAGCATCAATCCATATTTTGAATTGCCCCTTGTTGAGCTTGCTACTTAATGGACCCATTATACAGGTCCATAACAAAACCCATGATCAATAATTTTAAATTAATTTTAGAGAATTGAACTGAATCTTGGTGTTATAATATGATGAATTTTTTTTGATCGATTCAATGGAAAGCCTTAGGAATTTTATTTTATGTGTCAAGTGCTGTCCAACTATACATTATGTGTGTCTTTTCGTTGAAAATTATTTTGGGAGAATTTTAAACTTCAAGTTTCAGGGTTCTATGACATCAAAGTTTTGATTTTTCCAAAATTAACTTCAATCAAAGTTTGAAAACATAAAATCACCTTTTGAGTTTTGTAAAGAACCTCAAATCGATCTGATTGATACTAACATTACACCCAATTCTGCCCATAGATAAAGAATTTGAATTTTAAAATGTTATTTAAATATTTTCGTTTTTGAAAATACCAAAATTTCAAAATCCATACCCATCATTTGTTTTGATCTCAGAAATCATGCTTTCCCAAAGTTTTGTAACACTATTCAGCCCAAGAAATGCTAAGAAAATGCCACAGATTTGTGTCCAAAGGAGGCCAAAAATGACATTTTCACTCACCATAAAAATGCATGAAAAGATTCAATTTGACATGAAAGTGATTGAATATTGTTGGATATGTTATTGTGTAGTTGTTTGCGTTTGAAAGTGGAAAAAAAATCAAGCATTGAATCTCGAAAATGGCCACCAATAGGGGAACCTAATAATAAAATGGGTTGACCTGCAAAATGGAAGAAGACCACCAACGTGGCTTTGTCATGAGAAGCCAACATTATTATCATAATTTTTTGCAAAAACAGAATGGTCAATTTGAGTTTTCTTGAAATTATGTTCCAACATGAAGGAATCAAATTGTTATTCAAGTGGCAATCTAGAATGAAATAGGAAACACTGGGAATAATCTAGAATAGGATTATTTAATTCTTTTACAGTTTTCAATTACAAAGCAAATATATCACAGTATATATGTAATAAAGAGCAACAATCAAGGTTGTTGAATCGCAATAAGTATTGTGTATTGTTTGACTGATTTTTTGTATCGAGAATCGTACTAAATCGTAAAATATAGAAATATAATAAAAAATAATTTAAAAATATATAATATAATTAATATCATATAAATAGAATTATTTAATTCTTTTACAGTTTTCAATTACAAGGCAAATATATCAGTATATGTAATAAAGAGTAGCAACCAAGGTTGTTGAATCGCAATAGATATCGTGTATTGTTTAGCCAGTTTTTTGTATCGTAAAATACAGAAATATAATAAAAAATAATTTAAAATTATATAATATAATTAATATCATATAAATCCAAATTTCAAAAAGGATCCAATAAGCAAAATACATAAGTAATTAAAATGAAAACCAGTTATTCTCCTACTCATCAATCATTAAGATTAATATTATCACTACTATTACTATCAGCATCTATCAGTGATATAACTAATTCATCATTCTCTTCCAAAAAGGATCCTTTTAGTTTTTGTTTTTAATTTCAACCGCAAATCAAATCTTTATTTCTTATTTTTTTATATAAAAATTTATAAATTTTGATTTAATTTTTATATCGTATGATACACCTATCGTATCGTAAGATATAAACCCCTTTCTGATACCCCATGATACATATTAATGGGCTTGTGAATCGTATCGTATCATATAAATCGTATCGTGTATCGTAAAATAGTGATAATCAGCAACAATGTCAATCTATTTTTCACACTAGAAGGAGTTATGAGTACGCTATCATAGCACCATAAAACAGTCTAAAACAATACTTGAATTATACACTTAAAATGATTGAATTTTGAATATTTCATAGTAATAAAATGTTGTTTTAATACAAGCAACTAAGATTAGTATAATGGTGAGGGATTTGAGTAGGTTGTATTAAGTTATGTGTTCAATTTTCACTTATATCCAAAAAAAAAAAAAAAAATTATGACAAAAATTGGATATTAGAGCAACTTAGTGCACGGAAGAAAAAATTAAACTAATATTTATCCTAGTTCACAGTCACACTGCGTTATTCTAATAGAGGGTTCCTTGTTTACGAGACACGCGACAAATTGGACTTGCTGGAATTGATAACAGATCCTAAAACGTGGCATATTGATATTATATTTCTGAACGATGGCATTTCGACAACTAAAATAAAACATACCATTTTGATGGTTGTCCCAAAATAAGAAGTTTAACTAATTTGTCAAATCAATCATATAATTAGGAAAGATTTAGCTAATGAGAATTAGAATAGAAAAAATAACTCCTAAATTAACTCTATAAAATAGCTGTACATTGAATAATAATAATAATAATAATAATAATAAAACAAAATTAATAATGAAGTAATGTAAATTCCAGCTCATAATAGATGAGAAAAATAAAGCTTGACTTTCCACAAAGTGAAATCACTCGTGCTCCCTTTTCTTATGGATCTTCTTCAACTCCTAATAAACTTAATATATACCTGTTTTTTTTTTTACCCTCACACGATATTAATAGAATATAATTTACAATGAACAGAGAATCAGTATATGCGTTCTCTTTTCTCATCTTCTTACTATCTTCCCTACTCTTATTCAACTTCCTCACCCCTTTTGATCAACAATCTCTTTCTCGTTATGCTTTCTTATCATATATCATTCCCAACAATTCACACAAATCTCCAGCCGTAAAAGCCTGCGATTATTCCAAAGGTCGTTGGGTTTGGGACGAAACCTACTCATATCAATTGTACGATGAAAGTTGTCCGTTTCTTGATCCTGGATTCCGGTGCCGGCAAAATGGACGGAAAGATGAAGGTTACCGGAAATGGAGATGGCAGCCTGATGAATGTGACCTTCCCCGGTACGTGAAATCATATATACTATTATCATCATCTTTTGATGCATATATACTTGTTACTTCGCTGCATGCATGTGCATATGCGGTTATATTTGTTATGTGTTCCTGATATGTTTTCCAAAGAGTGTTTGCAATTTTTAGATAAAATAAAACCTCAAATTGCCAACAACAATGACTCCATTTCAACGTTTTTTGATTTTTTTTTTTTTTTTCCATTTTGCCTCTCTCTTCTTATTTTGCTTTTGGAGAAGAAAATGGGTTTGATAGAAAGAGTCAATAAAAGGCATGCAAAGAGAAGAATGAGGCCTAGTTTATAGAAACACTTGTGGACCATTAGATCCTAATTTCGAGCAGGGGCTATAATGTCCAAGGCTTAGGAAGTGAAATGGCATCAATCATCCATATATAGTAGCATTAAACATTGAATAATTGTCTCTCAATTATGTTTTATAAAATTATAAAATAATTATATAATTGTCTTAAAATTAAAATTAATTAATTTAAATCTATATTAAATATTTATCGATTAAATAAAAATATTTATCTTTTAAGAACATTGAATTTGAATTATCCGTGCATATCATAACTAGTTAGCTAGTAATCTCCTGCAATAAAAGTGAACTATCTAGCCTTTGCACTTTTATCTGAACTTGTACGGTACTCTTCAAAAGTGGTAACATGTTGGTTTGTGATGTTACTCTCAGATTCAATGCAAGTGACGTCCTAGAGAAGAGTCGCAATGGACGCATTGTGTTTGCGGGTGATTCAGTGGGAAGAAACCAATGGGAGTCATTACTGTGCATGCTGACAAAAGGGGTCTCAAACATGTCTAAAATATATGAAGTGAATGGAAGTCCCATAAGCAAACACAAGGGTTACCTGGCAATGAGGTTTGAGGAATACAACATGACAGTAGAATATTACAGGGCACCCTTCTTGTCTATTATAGGACGACCACCACTCAACTCATCCAAAGAGGTCCGAATGACTATTAGGCTTGACGAGTTGCATTGGTATTCCAATAAGTGGGTAGCAGCAGATGTTCTTATTTTCAATTCCGGCCATTGGTGGAACCTAGACAAAACTATCAAGATGTAGGACCAACTAAAACCCTTTTCTTTTTACTTCACTCAGTCTTCAATTGTTAAAATCTAGCACAGGCTAATATGTTATGTCAAAAAATGTAAAATTACCTTTTTTAAAAAGTATATATATATATATATATATATATATATATATATATATATATATATATATGGATTTGCATCTATCATGTCACATGACACAAAAAAGTTTCCTACACACACAACATTTTGTGGGACCCGCACTTTTTAAAGCAAAAAAAAAAAAAAAAACTAAAGCACGCAAAATGAATCTATAACATTACACAATCACTTTTCCTACAACATAACTCTTATAAAACTCATACACATATATATATATATATATATATATATATATGTGTGTGTGTGTATTAAACTAAAATAACACATCTAGCTTACCAAAAAATAAAATAAAAAATAACACATCTAATCGGGCTCTTTACCTTCTTGCAGGGGCAGCTACTTCCAGGAAGGAGGGAAGGTAAATATGACAATGAGCGTGAAAGAAGCATTTAGGAGATCCTTACAGACATGGAAATCATGGGCACTGCATAATCTAGATCCTTGGAGGAGTTTTGTCTTCTTTCGTAGCTATTCCTCTGTTCATTACAGGCAAGTACAAAAATTTGTTTGGTCTTTCATACTGTCACAATTAAAAAAACCTTCAAATAGTGACCCAATTTAAGATACGATAAGCACAAGAGAAATGATTTTCACTTTTTTATACCCTTCGTCGTACCGCTTTCCTTGCATTTTTCAGAGATACCCAAGACATGGTCCAAAAGAATAACAGCACGTTCAGAGAAAACGCTTCTAGGCCTCCCACACTATATAAGTTACTTTACAATAATATAAAAAGGGAAAAGCTTTAGTCCCACAACCTTTCACATTAAGTGACAAAATTATAGTATGAACGTGAAAATAATGACGTAGACAAATGTAACTATTTTATTTGGCCAAACAACAAAAGCACGTTAACCCGCTTCAACACTCTTGCTCAAATTTAATCATCCTATATTTGTTTCAGTTTTAGAAATATCCTCTGGGCTGCATGCAAAACTCATCTACCCCATTCTAAAATGGCAAATAAAATACGGAAATTTTTTTAAATTAGATGATAAAATACTGCTTACTTGTAATTAGTGCTTAACTTATATATTATTTATGAATATGAAATCAGTTTTCTTGATTTTCCCCCATACGATATGCCATTTGTAGTGACATTTTTTGTTATAGATATAAATATATCATATACGAATTTATCCACATGGAAAAGGAGGACGGGGGGAGGGGGGGCTTAGGATATTGGGAATCACTATGGAGTATATTTAGACACGAGTCTTTACTCGAGTTAAATTGCAGGAATGGCACATGGAATGATGGAGGAAATTGTGACATGGAAACAGAACCAGAAAAGGACCCTTCAAAACTTGAGACTGAACCATATTATAACACATTTATATCTGATGTTATCAAACAGATGCAATATGGGAGCTGGAAAGTCCAATTATTGAACATCACATATCTTTCAGAGTTGAGGAAAGACGGTCACCCTTCCAAGTATCGGGAACCAGGCACTCCACCTGATGCTCCTCAGGATTGTAGCCACTGGTGCTTACCCGGAGTTCCAGACACGTGGAATGAACTTCTCTATGCCCAACTTCTCTCTAAGAAATTTGGCATCAACACAAAATTTCCAGAAAGCAGAGAACAAAGCCAATCCAATTTTCATCAGACCACCACGAAGAATGTTAAGTTTTGCTAGCTATACATACATCTGCATTGCTTCTGATCATTTCACTTCATCCACTTCCTCATCCAAGTCCGTATCACTGGTTGTCATTTGCTTCACTTTCTCAAGTTGCCTCAAGAGATCCAACCTTTCTGGTGCATAAGTGGATGGAATCTGCAAGAAAGAAGGCATATCAAATTGTTATGACGTAATGATTGGAGAATCAACATCTGAATAGATTGGAAAGTAGCAGCAACCAGTCACAATGTGCATACCAGAGCTGGTACATATCTCTGAATAGCAGCCAACATGGCTGCATGACCAACTGCAGTAACCTGTGCAAAATAAGCGTTGTCTTCCTTAGTAGGTTACACTGGACCACTAGTCGAAGGAAAGAACCACATCGAATATTGAAAATATTAATTGACCACACACAGAAATAAGAAGTTTATGAAATAGCAACAAGTTCATTTTTTTCATCTTTTATGCATTTTCTACATGCAGTAAGTTCTTCATTTTATTCTTGCACTTCAATATTTATAAACGGCAGAAGAATCAAAGGGGGGAAAAACAAGAATTAATTGATCACACCATGTTTGGCAGAGCAAGAGTCATTTGAGAAAAAAAAAAAAAAAAAAAAATTGGAAGAAGCAAGAATCTCTCACTTATGCAGGATCAATAATTACAGATATAGACCATTGATTCAAAAATATAAGTTAGAGAATGTTGGTGATATAATAATTAAAGCCATTTATGAGTCTTTGGCAGACATGCTAAGCTTTTGGGAGAGTTGGTTCTTGAGATGGTACTAAAACCTCCTTGACTAAGTGGTTAGGAGTTTAATCCTTGCTACCTCTATTCTTCTAATTTACCAAAAAAAATTAAAAAAAATTAAAAAAAATTAAAAATTAACACATGGTAAAAGTGGGCATGCATATTGTCGATGCTTTAAGCCAAAGGGATTTGGTGTGAGGGTTATGTTAGAAATATAATAAAGTTGTTCATAAATGGGGTATTAGCTTTTAGGAAAGTTGGTCATGAATAGGGTTTTAACTTTTCGGAAAGTTGGTCATAAATAGGGTATTGGAGCCTCCTTGATTATGCGGTCAATAGTTTCATCCTAGCTCATTCTTTTAATCAAAAGTTGAAATTCAGCCCATGGAAATAATAGGTTCGTGCATTGCCCATGCTTCAAGCTCAAATAGCCCTTGCGTGAGAAAAGATATGTTAGGGATGTAACAAAATTATCCATAAGTCTTTACCTAAGAGCTTAAGTTTTAAAGAAAGTTAATTCTTACTAGGAATAATATCTATATCTTCAAAGGTTGAGCCTTGGCACAATGGAAAGATTGCTTCCGTCATGATTTAGTGGTCATTGGTTCTCATCTCGTAAACAACCTCTCCCATCAATGTGTAAGGCTACATAAATCTGATCCCCCCACAAAGCTAGGGGCCTCGTGCATTAGGCCACCCTTCTCTAATACATCTATATCTTATTATGGGACTATCAATCAGCCAACCCAGCACGGTTGACCCAACCCGGGTTTGTTCTCAATGGGCTAGGACAGGCTGACATATGTTTGGTGGGTTAAACGAGCTCATCTACCATGCCTATAGAGTCAATAGATTAAAGAAAAGTCTTGAAAACTAGAAATAGTAATAAAATAAGTGTTGTAAATATTTGTAATTTTTGTATTTCCTAGATTAGTATTTCCTTATTATAAGATTTGGGTTTATTCCCTTCGCTCCACAAAGCCCAATAGTCTCTATACATAATGTAACCCTTTGTATATTTTGATTTGACAAATAAATATTTCAATTTTTTCCTTTCAAGTTGGCATTAGACTCTCGATCTAGGAGACTCTTGCTTCTGCTAGCATAGATCTTTTTTGGCCTTTGGCTCGCCTTGTTGTGCCTTCATTGCCGGCCCTTTTCCCAATGATGATCGGTCACTTCACCGCCACTAGCAGCCACCGGTAAAAAATTTCGGCAATCTTTCTGGCTACCATCTCACTCAGAATTCTTCGATCTACAATTCTACACAAGTCTCACCCCCAACCACCAAGCAATGCGTCTCCAAGGTTCAATCACGTCTCCTTTTTTCGACTGACCACTTTTTTGGCTAATGCTTAGCTCTAACAACCCAGGGATAGCATTGTGCCATCCAGATTGGACTCTCCCTAAAATCCCACGGTCATCGGCCATTGCACGTGCCTCCTCCTATTGGAGCATGATGGCACGTGAAGCTTTTGTTCATCTCTAATTGACCTCATCCAGGATTTTCCGACCGTCCTCAATTTAGATATGCCCTCATAGTTTCGATCCGACACTATTTGGGTCGTGGGTATGCGATACTCACTACTCAAGCTCAGAAGCTCTCATTAACCAAGACCTCTTTTGCTCAAACTAGACCTGTTCATCTGTTTGGGGCCTCCAAAAACTTAAGTGGTGATTAACACCCCCCTTTTCTTGATTTTTGCTACTTTTTGTGACTATTCGTTCTTTTTTCATCCATGGGACGTTGGTCCAGCTACTGTAAGGGGACTAGACACACAAAAGACATATGCTTTCGCCTTCATGTGAAGCAATGGGTTTTGGAGAAGCTTAGTAAGGCAACCTTAGATGTGACTATTCAACAAGAAGAGCTGGAGCAACTTAGAACCATTATGATACTTGCACTAAGCTCCTTGGTATGTATTCATTGGCTATGTTTGGTAAGAACACATAGTTTACATCTATTCTTGCTTCTTGCGCTGATTTGATAAATTCATGGGTTGTGAATTCTGATGCAACCAATCATATCACTTGTCTAGCTGACACTTTTCTCTCTTACCATTCTATCCTTGGTGTCCACACTATAGCCTTAATTGATAGATCTCATAAATCAATTTTGGGTTTTGATAACATTCAGATTTAACTCTCCTTATTTCTAAAAAATATTCTTCATATTTCCTCAACCAATCTTATTATCTCTGCACATAAGTTTACAGTTCACTTGAATTATAATGTCACATTTTTTTCTACTCATTGTGTTACTCAGGATTTCACCATTGAAGGATGACTTGAGTTGATAAGGAATAGGGTGGGTTGTACTATCTCATTCCAGAGCATGCTGCAAATGGTACAAAGGATTAGTTATTAATGACTCGTTACCCATCTACTCTAGAATCTCTGACTTCTACAATTTGAAGTGCCTGGGCACTCGCCATTTAGTCTATTGAAGTCAATGTTTCCTTCTTTGTTTCTGCATTAGTCAACTAAGTCCTTTCATTGCGACGTATATGAGTTTACAAAACACCATGTCGTTTCTTTCTAGTGCAATAAAATGTACTAAATTTTTTACTATTATTCATTCTGATGTATGGGGCCTTAAAAGTGCATCGTGCTTTTCTAATGCTAGTGATTTGTTTCACTTATTGATCGATTAACATATATATTTTTATGAAGACAAGTAAGAAGTACCAGAGTCATTTATCCAATTTTATAACATGATTGAGACACAATTTGGTAAAAGTATTAAATGATTAACATCTTATAATGGGACAAAGTACATCAACCAACTCTTGTCCAATTCATTTCAGACAAGGATATGTTTCATGCGCTCACCTGGTGAACACTCCTCAACAGTCCACATTTCCTTCTGATCGTCAATTAATTGATGTCTTGACTAAGGGGCTTCACACCAATAGATTTTAAGGGACGTTTGGTAGAGGAGAAAATTTTTTTACCGGGAAAAAAAGATTTCCGGGAATATGGTGAGAAATTTTTTTTCCAGGATAAATTACTAAAAGGTGTTTGGTAGGTCAAAATTTTTCCGGGAATATTGGATTAATTTTATTGATGCTATGTTTGGCTGATTATAAAATATTGATAGGAATCTAAACAGAAATTACAAAACTACCCATCATCGGGTCTTCCCAGAGACTAGGTTCTTTGTGGGCATCATCATTTGGGGTCAAAAGTGTTTTCGATTGGCTTTATTCGAAGTGGGTTTTGATTCGCGTGGAGTATATTGCTCCCCCTCTTCAGTTCCTCGCCAATGCATGTATTGTGTTGTTTATTATTCAGAGTTTAGATAGGTTGGTCCTATGGTTTGGTTGTTTTTGGATCCGGTTTAAGAAAATCAAACCTGTTCCTAAAGTTGGTGATGTGGATCTTGAGTCTTCGGAGAAAGGTTTTTTTCCTATGGTGCTACTTCAGATCCCCATGTGCAATGAGAGAGAGGTAAGATACAATACAATTAATTTTTATCTATTTGTTGTTCTCTGTTATGTTGATCTAACTTTGATGTGTTTTTTCAGGTTTATAAGCAATCAATTGGCACTGTTTGTAATTTGGATTGACCAAAATCCAAGTTGTTAATTCAAGTTCTTGATGATTCGGATGACCCAACAACCTCATCGTTGATCAATGAAGAGGTTCAGAAATGGCAACAAGAGGGTATTCCTGTCTCGGAAAGGTGCAACTCATTTCCCACCGCTTGGGAAAAAAAATTACCATCCCATCGGTGGTAATCTTCGACAACACTTTGTTGTGTAAATGCAAATGACGGGAAACAAATTTTCCCTGCCTTTTTATTTCATCTTCCTCCCACCAAACATGGGAAAAAAAATTTTCCCTCCTACCAAACACCCTTTTAAAAACTTGCTAGCAAGTTCAACTAGAGGGGGAGTGTTGTAATTATTGTATTTCCTATATTAGTGTTTCCTTATTATAGGATTTGGGTTTATTCCCTTAATCCTTTTAGAACCATTAGTGTCTATGTATGTTGGGTTCCATTTGCAAAGTATGGGACTTGGAGTCGCACATTGGTTGTATGGGCAACTAATGTGGGGTTTATAAGGCCTTAGGCACTTCCACCCTTTGCGCTAACCTACAAAGCACGGACACGCTTTGTTTTTGAAATTGTGTGTGTCGGACACGGACACGCTCCGACACGTTCGGACACGCGGTCAACATTTTGGGACACGTGGTCAACTCTCCGACACGCAGTCAACTTTTTCCGACACGTGGTCAACGCTGGGACACGTTTTTTTTTTTCTCTTAATTTTATTTTATTAACTAAAAATAAAAAAAATCATTTATAAATTAATTTTTTTCTGTTATGAAATTTGATATGAAAAATTAACAAGATACGGAAAATTATTTTTGTTTATATTTATGTTATGAAATTTGAATATTTGATTGGTTATATAACTTATTATGGACTGTTATATCTATTAAATATAAATTATATTATATATATTAAAAATATTATTTAATATCAAAACGTGTCCCAACGTATCGAAATATGCCATTTTTTAGAATTAACGTGTCGGCGTGTCGTGTCGTGTCTCGTGTCAGTGTCCGTGCATCATAGGCGCTAACTTTTGGGGTTGTGCATCCGAAGATCTCATTAAATGGTATCAGAGCATCCATCACGTGGAGTGTGCATGGGGGCACGCACTAGGGAAGCGTGGTGGAATGTTGGGTTCCATTTGCAAGGTATGGGACTTGGAGTCCCACATTGGTTGTATTGGCAACTAATTTGGGGTTTATAAGGCCTTGGATAGTCCCACTCTTTGAGCTAGCTTTTGGGATGGTGCATCCCAAGATCTCATCAATATATAATGTAACCCTTTGAACATTTTGACTTAGAAATCAGTTTTCTCCTTTCAATTGTAAGACAAACTTACATGTTGAACATGATTTGTTTAAACAATTTTATTTTCTTTTTCTATTTTGAATTGCCAACCTGGGAGTGGGGGTTTAAATAGATCAGGTCACCTTGACCCGTATTTAAACAAGATAATGATTTGGAACCCTAACCTACTTTTAATGGATCTTTTCAATTACGAACAACAGTATACTTCTCTAGCCAGAACAGGACATGTTATGCAGATATAGTAGATGAGAACAATAAAAAAGGAGTTCAACTCACTGGAAGAAGCATTAAAACACCAATAGGAACAACTGAAGCCATGTCTGTCAAGGTTCTTTTAAGTATTTTCTTCTCCTTCTCAGTCAATTCATCCCCTATCAGGGTCCTTCTAAGCAAACCCATGGCAGCAGCAACGTCAATAGCGAGGAGTTGAGTTCCTTGCCAGACATCCTGCTTATAGAGTAGCAAACTTCAGATCTCACACGTTAAGAGACAAGAAATAAAACAGGACTTAACTTCAAATTTCTAAAAAATTTATTGGTGAATAGGGGATATTGCCACTTTGTCAGTATTATCAGAGACGCTATACAAATGTTATGCCAGCCATATTTTTCAGTTTCTACAGGACATACGGGGAGGCGAGGGTGGAGTAGTCAGCTTCATCTGATCGATGCGTTAATGCAGGTGAATTCAAAAACCAAGATAATCTTTCCAAGAGAAAAAGAAATAAAAAAAGCCTCATACTAAATCATACCGTTCCTGTTTCTTTTAGTTTGCCAAAAGATTTCTCTAGGATACTTTCTGTCTTCTGAACCCTGGCTATCTGAACGCCTCTAGCATCATCACTATAACGGGCACCATTATCAATAACCACCAAATCCTGCAAACACATTACACAATGCTCAATCTAAATGAACGGTCAAGGGAAAAATAAACTTAAGCAGAAGGACAGATAGATATAGATGCAGTAGTCTAAATTAACAGTAAGTACAGAACAAATGCTTCATTTTTAAATTTTGGAACTCAAATAATACTTGCATAAAAATCTATCAAGTTTGATATCCCTGTTTGTGTGGATTGTAGGTGAATGGTATGGTATTTATATCCTGAATTGATACTAGTGAAACACAAAAAAGATCAAATAAAGATAACATAGAAAAGTTGATGAAGACAACAAAACATGTATCCCAAGCCAAAAGTGACAGATAGTCTCAGAAATCTATATTTACCCCTTTATAAATAATTTTTCAGCTGTAACCGGCAAGAAAATTTATAAGCTACAACCTTATAATCAATAAGCAAAAATTTTGTACACTAAAAAAAAATCATAAAATTGTAAGCCATTGAATGTTTCGGACACCTCATTATTTTCTGATTGATAGGCACTTCTTTGAACCCGTTTCTCAAGTTCTATTAGCTCATTTCTCAAAAGCTCGAAACGTTGGATTTCATTGGATTCTTGGTCTACAACCCCAACATTTGGTGTAGACTGTTCAATGTAATTTTCCTGCAAACAAGATAGCAAGTCCATATTACTACTTGAATATAAAATAATAGAAGAATAATATGTTGTGTATTGATCTGTGTCAGAGAGTTACAATATATAGAGACCCTAATGGGCTTAAGTGAAAGGCCCAAACCTAATCCGAATACAGTCAGAATATTTACGGATAAGACGGAATCCAATCATATCTAATCATATCATATCTAATATTCTAACACTCCCCCTCAAGCTGGTGCGTATATATTATGAGCACCAAGCTTGTTACAAATGTATTCAACCCGAGGACCTCTAAGAGCTTTAGTGAAAACATCCGCTAGTTGATCAGAGGAGTTGACGAAAGCAGTCTTGATTTCTCCTGACTGAATCTTTTCTCGAATGAAGTGACAATCAATCTCTATATGTTTGGTCCTCTCATGAAAGACAGGATTAGAGGATATATGTAGCGCAGCTTGATTATCACAGATGAGTGTCATGGGTTGTTTCTGTTCACAAAGATGAAGCTCCTGAATCAACTGCTTTAACCAGACTAACTCACAGGTAGCATTTTCCATTGCACGATACTCAGCTTCTGCACTAGATCGAGCAACAACAGGTTGTTTCTTGCTCTTCCACGAAATTAAGTTTCCTCCAAAGAAGACACAATAGCCAGAAGTAGAGCGCCTGTCCAAGGGTGATCCTGCCCAATCAGCATCTGAATAACCACAAATTTCTGTATTTCCCTGATCTGAATACAACAAACCTTTTCCTGGTGCTCCTTTGATGTATCGGAGGATCCTCACAGCAGCATCCCAATGTGAATCACAAGGGGAATCAAGAAACTGACTAGCCGTACTAACAGTGAAAGAAATATCTGGCCTAGTCACAGTAAGATAGTTGAGCTTCCCAATTAGCCTCCGATAACGTCCAGGATCAGATAACGGCTCCCCCTGTCCGGGCAATAACTTGACATTAGGATCCATAGGTGTATCAACTGGTTTACTCCCCAACATACCAGTTTCTTCTAGGATATCCAGGGCATATTTCCTTTGACAGATAGAAATGCCCTGTCTGGATTGCGCCACCTCAATTCCCAAGAAGTAACGCAGCTTCCCAAGGTCCTTTGTTTGAAATGTACTAAACAAATGTTGTTTTAACTGACGAATTCCGTCTTGATCACTTCCGGTGAGAATGATGTCGTCAACATAGACTAACAAATAGATACACTTATCAGGAGATGTAATCCTATAAAACACAGAATGGTCAACTTTACTGCGGATTAAGCCAAACGCCTGAACAGCAGAACTGAAGCGACTGAACCATGCTCGAGGAGACTGCTTGAGACCATATAAGGATTTCCGAAGACGACACACCTTTCCAGACTCCCCTTGAGCAACAAAACCAGGTGGTTGCTCCATGTAAACTTCTTCTTGTAAATCACCATGAAGAAAGGCATTTTTGATGTCAAGTTGAAGGAGTGGCCAGTGACGAACAGTAGCAAGGGCAAGAAAGAGGCGGACTGACGCCATCTTAGCGACCGGAGAAAATGTATCGCTATAATCAAGGCCAAAGATTTGAGTAAAACCCTTGGCAACTAAACGTGCCTTGAGACGATCAATATGGCCATCAGATCCAACTTTCACAGTAAAAACCCAGCGACAACCAACTATAGGCTTCTCTGGAGGAGCAGAAACAAGGTCCCAAGTGCCATTGGAATGAAGTGCAGTCATCTCATCAAGCATTGCTTGGCGCCACCCTGGATGGGAAAGTGCTTCACCTGTGGTCTTAGGAATAGAAATAGAAGAAAGACTAGAAACAAAGGTGAAATGAGGTGAAGAAAGACGGTCATAACTCAAAAAGGTATAAAGAGGATAAGGGTTACGAGTAGTACGTGTACCTTTTCTTTGAGCAATGGGAAGAGTCTCTGATGAAGGATCCGGAGGGGAAGAAGCAACAGCAGTGGGCGATGAGTCAGCAAGAGTCGAGTCGATAGGAGGCACAGTTTTGCGACGCTGATAGGTGAGAAGTGGACGGTCCTCAGGTATAGAAGCAATAGGTTGCTCATCTGGAATAGAAGCACCTGCAGCTGGCAAAGACAAGTCAAGAAAAGGGACAGGAAGTACATGATCAACCTGTGACATCTGAGATGGGATAGAATTAAAGGGTTGTTGATCAAGAAAAGTGACATCAGCGGAAACTAAGTAACGCTTAAGGTCGGGAGAATAACAACGATAACCCTTTTGAAGACGAGAATAACCAAGAAAGATACACTGAAAGGCTTTGGATGTTAACTTATCCTTACCAGGAGTGAGATCATGAACAAAACAAGTACAACCAAAGACATGTGGAGTTAGAGGATAAAGAGGAACATCTGGAAGCAATAGATTATGAGGAATGTCATTGTGGAGCACAGATGAAGGCATGCGATTGATGAGAAAACAAGAGATGAGTACAGCATCTGCCCAAAAGTGAAGGGGAACCTGCATATGAATAAGAAGGGTACGGGCAGTTTCAATGAGATGTCTGTTTTTACGTTCAGCCACCCCATTTTGTTGTGGAGAGTGAGGACAAGTAGTTTGATGTAAAGTACCTTGTGTGGCCAAGAAATTAGAAAAATCAATAGAAACATATTCCTTAGCATTATCACTACGTAGAATACGAATAGAAACACCAAATTGAGTATGGATCTCAGTAGAAAACTTTTTATAAATGGAAAATAGCTCGGAACGATTTTTCATTAAATAGGTCCAAGTGCAACGGGAAAAATCATCAATAAAGGTAACGAAATACCGAAAACCTAAGACAGACAAGGTACGACTTGGACCCCAGATATCTGAATGAACAAGAGAGAAAGGGGCATCAGCTCGTTTATTGACTCGACTGGCAAAAGAGGAGCGTGTATGCTTCCCTTGTTGACATGACACACAATCTAAAGACTGAAGACCGGACAAAAGAGGAACCATTTTCTGCAACTTTGAAAGACTTGGATGACCAAGGCGACTGTGGATAAGTTGTGGAGATTCTGTGAGAGAGCATGCTACTGAAGGACGAGGCACATCCAAATAATAAAGCCCTCGTGACTCACGACACACTCCAATCATTTTCCCCGTACCCGGATCCTGCACAGAAACAGAATGGTTAGAGAAAGTAATGGTGCAAGTGAGGGAGTGGATCAACTTACTAATAGAAATTAAGTTATAAGGGATGCCAGGAATGTAATAGACAGATGTCAGGGCCAAGGTAGAGGTCGGACGAGCTTGTCCAATCCCACGAACTGGGGCTTTGGTTCCATCCGCAAGGGTAAAAGACGGTAAATGATCAGAATAAGTAAGAGATGTAAAGAGTTCCTTATTACCACAGAGATGATCGGTAGCACCGGAGTCAAATATCCAAGTGCCAAGTGATGTAGAATGAGAAACACAAGCAACAGGATTACCAGTACAAGGCTGAGACTGAGGAGAAGCCTTCCTGAGAGGGGTTTGGAGTGCAGCATAGTCCGAACCTGAACCAAATGATGCATTGTCTGACTGAGCTATATTTGCAACAATAGAAGGAGAGTTAACCTCCGATAGATCAGGAGATGCTGCTGCCATTTAAAGATAAAATATAAAAGTCGTAAACGAAGGCAAACGATATCCAATCAAGAAGAACCACGCGTCTAAGGTCAGACCCACAGAGAAACAATCACAGATCCAGAAAGGGGAGGAGAAGGCGAGCTTCTCTGTCCAAGACCGGCCGGAAAAAGCCGCCGGAATAGTGCTCACGCGCCGGCAGAAGGTGGCGCGTGAAGCCCACGCGCAGAGAAGACAGGTGGCGCGTGACGGCGCGTGGGAGATGCGTTGCTGACCGGACCACCACAGACCTGGTCGCCGGGAAGAGAGGGTCCTGATCGCGTGAAGTTTGGTCGGAAAAGTCGCCGGAAAAAGTCTCTGGTTGCCTGAACAGTGATTCTGACGGCGGGCGGTGATTCCGGTGGCCGTCGGAGGTGCTGACGCGTTTGGAAAAATCACTCAGAGGCTGTTTACAGCCCTAGAAGGCTTGCCAGAAGGACGCACGGCAAGAAAGAGGACTCCTAAGCAGTGGGCTTAGGTTTTAAAGCAAAAACAAGGTTTCTAAGCGGAAGCGAGGGTTCCCAGAACGAAAGTGCTCTGATACCAACTTGAATATAAAATAATAGAAGAATAATATGTTGTGTATTGATCTGTGTCAGAGAGTTACAATATATAGAGACCCTAATGAGCTTAAGTGAAAGGCCCAAACCTAATCCTAATACAGTCAGAATACAGTCAGAATATTTACGGATAAGACGGAATCCAATCATATCTAATCATATCTAATCATATCATATCTAATATCCTAACATTACTCAATGCCCCGCACACTATCCACCTGTTTGAATAGAGCAGATAATTATCTCAACAACTAAAGCCAATAAAGCATAGTGCCAGTTCTAAAGAGTGATTATTAGGTAATACAACTCCAAGCAAAACAAATGATGTTGTTAGCTACTATACAATTTTGACATTGCAAAATTGATTTTGAAGTTAACAACAGTCGACCACTTTTTGGGGTATTTGGTGAAGAATTTCAAAAGCAAGTTTGTTGTTGTAGTCTTTGTTATGCTACCAATCAAACATTCATTTTTTACTCTCATTTCAATAATTCAAAAGTCATTATAATTAGACAAGGAGACAAATATTGAAGAACATATAAGAATAATAAAACAGGATTACGACAAACATCCTATGCTATTCATTTCATCTTAACACAATAACAGCAAATTATAAGGAAGACACTGCATACATTAGCGTCCACATCAGACTCCAGGCTAGGCTTTTTGGTGACAGGACGTACAAAGATGCTCCAGAATCCACGAGATTTTCCAACATTTCTGTAAAAGACGTGTAACATTTACATAAATCTAAGAACAAACAGGAAATAACATTTACCCCCACCCCCCCCCCCCCCCCAAAAAAAAAAAATGTTAACAGCTGGCAATTGTATTTTTTCAGAAACCAGTCAATAAATATGAAAATAAGCAAACCTTAAATTTATCATAAGATTTTCATACCTTTTGCTCCTGTCCACCCTAACGTTAGCATTCTTTCTGGTTTTCCCTTTCATGTACTCGTCTTCTTCACCAGCTGATGTATAGGTCCGACCACTATTAACTCCCTGAATGAGTGCAATAGAAATACCATCGACAAGAAAATATAGAGATTCTCAAAAGCAGAAAACATGTGACTAGCATAGCATACATAGGAGTCAAGCAAGACAATGATGAATTGACTGCAAGGAAATGATAAATTTGAGTACAACCAATAGCACTTCATTTTGAAGAAAAAAAAAATAGCAAGATTAAATGTCATGGCAAGAAGCAAAAATCATTATCCAAGCATAATACTAAAGTTGCATCCAATATTTACCACGTTTTTAAGCAAAGAGGTAAATACAGAAGCTCAAGAAGTCAAGATCTATGCACAGATACATCTAAAAAGGGAAGTGAGAGCACTTTCTCTCCCCCTCCCCCCACCCCACAAAAAAATAAAATAAAAAATCCACAACGTTGTCTTTCCTACTAATTACAAGTATTGCTTTCATGTCAAATACATATCCATTGCACTAATATGTGATTGGTCACCTATTAAAGTAGCCATTAGGTTAATAAGTATGTAATATTTTATAGGTTATTTCTAACTCAATAAACAAATAAAGAAAATAAGTTTCTATTGAAAGAGACACACACAAATTGACAGCATTGAGTTTAACTTTGACAAATGTATGATAAATATCTTAACTTTTAGAGTAAACATTGATTTTGATCTTCTAAACATATATTTGACATCATATTGGTCCTCTATTTGTTAGTACCAAAATGGCCCTTCAATGTAAATGAAGACCGTCAAAGTGGTCCTTCAAGTTTTGCTAAATTAAACTTTCAGTGGACAAAAATAATGACATTAATTGCCATTTAGGAACCAATTTATTGTCTCCTATAAAAGAGGACAAATGTAATATCAATTATATCTTTAAAATACTAAATTATACATTTACTACCTTCTATAATTGGCCCCATCACTAGTTAATTTCTGGATCCCTTCCTGTCTATGCTGATCAGTCAGTCTACTCTTATCAACAAATACAAATGAACAAGATATATAACATTATTACAACAAGATATATAACAATATTAAAGCCACAAAATTATTTGGAGGAAGAAAAAGAAAAAGAAGATTCTTACTTTCAGGGAAAACAAGCAAAAGACATTAACATACAAAATGAACATTAGCTAAGGTGGTTTCAAGGTAGATATCCATGATGCATTGTTCCAAAGAATTGAAAAAGGGTGTTGATAGAGGAGATGAAGGGGTACCTCTTGCAGAGAATCAGCTTTTGCTCTGAACGATGCCTCCAGGAATTCCGCTTCTTTCCTAAGTTTACGTATTTTTTCCAAGTCGGAACAGGCTGCTTTCAAATGCTCTTTTCCAGAACTAGAGCTTGATACATGCAACTCTTGAAGCAACTTTTCAAGTCTTATCACAGCTTCTTCAACACTTTTCAATGCCTGAAAATAATTGCCAAAGAGAAAGCATAAATAAGAAAATGATACTTCAAAACAAAAGGATTAGGATCAATCTATAGTACGAAGTAATAATACTGATATGTTTAGCTATGAAGATTATGTAATTTATACAACATTGAAACATAAAGGATGAAAGTAGACTGATGGGCCATGGGCCTAAAAGTAGTGAATTAGTTAGTTTGTTATGGAAACTATTCTAGAATATTCCAGGATATTCCTAAAGTATAGGATAAAAGGTAGGCAGTATGGTAGTACGGGTATGCATGAATTTAGAATTGATTAGTGGGGAAATTGGGAATCTCTGGGAGTTGAGATTTCTGGGTTAATTTTCTGCATTTTATCTTGTAAAAAGCTTGGCTTCATTTATGTTTTCTGCAATTTCATATTTATAAAAGTAGGTTCCATCAATTTGGTATCAAAACACTACAATCCTAGGAGTGCTCTTTGATCCATAGATTTGAAAAAAAAAAAATGAAATACAGATTTACAGTGGTTCCAAAATTCTTTGGAGAAAGAGGAGATCACGAAGCTTGGGAATGGCTAATTGATTTGGGACATTTTTTCCAAATCAAAGGAATCAATGAAGATCAGAAATACATTGAAGCTGTGAGAGCGCTCAAAGGGAGTGCATTCAACTGGTATCAAGGTTGGAAATGGTTCAATCTTACCGCAAGCTAGAGGAACTTTGAGAAGGCATTCATAGAGAGATATATACCTGAGATCTGTTTGGTAGAGGAGGATGAAGAACAACAGAAAGAAGAGGAAAAAGAAAAAAAAGATAAAATCAAACCAGAAAAAGAAAAAGAAATCGAAGTGGACAAAATAGAAGTAGGAGTGGATGTCAATGACGTTGCAGAAAGAAAAAAAAAGATGATATAGAAGAAGAGACGGAAGAAAATGAAACAAGAGGAATTAAAAAAACGCAAGAGGCGAAGGAAAAAAGAAATGAAGAAAAACAAATCAGCGAAGCAGAAGACAAAACACCAGCAACAGGCGAAGAAGATGAAGAATCGCACGAAGAAAAAAGATCAGAGGTTGAAGAAGAAGACGAAGTCAGATCTGATACAGGGAGACGATGCGTGAACATATCTGGAACCAGAAGGGAGACTGCGCGCGAACAGTGGCAACGACCACGTACGGTGGCGGGGGCAGCGGCACAAGGAGCTCAGGTGGGTATTTGGCCATACTGCTGGTTGGACGTGCTTGACCAGGGACGCACAAGAAGCGGGTCTAGATCTGGAGGTGGGTATTTGGCTCGACCCACACTAGGAAATAAGGACAACAGAAGTGGACTCAACATGGCCCCTAGGTTTGGTCTAATTGGCCCTGATTTGAAAGGCCAACGTGGTAGCAACTTGAAACCAGGCCTGTTTGATCCAACACTTCCCAACAAGGCTGTTGGTGGGGAGAATACAAAAAACAGGCCCAATGTTTCTAACACAAAAGAGTCAGTTGGTTTGGGCCCAATTCGTCCAACACAAACTAGTATCCATACTAGTGAGGTGGGGTCTTTAGGAACCCAACAAGGCAATAGTGTAATGATGAGCCAAGGAAGTGGAGGCATGCTGGCCAACAAAAAAACCAACGCTACTGCTGTATGGAGAGTATCAAGGTTCAGGTATATGTTGCTGGAGTTTAATAACCAGAGACAGATGGATTTACTCTTCAAGAGCAATGCTCATCTTAGAAAGAAATGCTGCAGTGAAGACGTGGAGGTTCATGGAAAGAAAACGGAATTAAAGCTACTAATGTGGTCAAGGTGCTTCAAACAATGGGATCCAGGTGGTTGTTTTCCTCACCTTGAGGACAAGGTGAATTTTAAAGGGGGAGTATTGATGGGCCATGGGCCTAAAAGTAGTGAATTAGTTAGTTTGTTATGGAAACTATTCTAGAATATTCCTAAAGTATAGGATAAAAGGTAGGCAGTGTGGTAGTATGGGTATGCATGAATTTAGAATTAGTTAGTGGGGAAATTGGGAATCTCTGGGAGTTGAGATTTCTGGGTTTATTTTCTGCATTTTTTTTTTTTTGGTACATTTCCAAGAGGTATCCCCATTCAACCTTCTCCGGGCACCATGCTCTCGGGGTACGGCCCGTTTGGGCTAGCCCCTCATTGTAACAGTGGGTGCACTAAGCTTCGCAACCAGAGAAAGGACGAGACTAATCCCCCAACCGAAGATTTTTTGGCTTATCCTCTGGCCCCCAAAGATTTTCCAAGAAGCTTGTATCTTGTAAGGAGCTTGGCTCCATTTATGTTTTCTGCAATTTCAGATTTATAAAAGTAGGCTCCATCATAGACATACAATTTTTTGCTGGGATCTAGGCACACCGCATACATGCATATTAGGGAAAACCAGCAGACAGGGATTAGAACATTAACAGTTGATGACGTTGCACATATGAACAAATGACGTAGCATCACAACATTTAATAATGCTGAGGATTTATTATTAAATCAGTAAATTTTTACAAGTATTCTTCTATACCATTACTGGTGGTGGAGTGGCAAGGTAGTAGCAATCCTGGAGGTAGAGTTGGTGAATGTTGACACGCAGAGCTGAAGCTAATTGTGTTATAGGTTAAAGTGGGAATGATGTTAGTTTTTATCCTATCCAGCCTTGTCTCGACCCGTAGACTGGATGGAGTTATATGGAAAATATAAAGGAAAAATCCCAATGCACAAGGCTCTCTGACTTTGTGAGGGTAGGTGTGAGGGTCGATTGTACACAGCCATACCCTTCCAATTTTATGCAGCTATTTCTCAGACTCGAATCCATAACTTTCAGATCACAAAAGAGTAACCTTACCACTGCTCCAAGGTAGTTATGCAACAAATAAAGTATAAAAAACCATATGGTTAAGGTTATATTACTATCTGATTTATACACTGAACATATAGAAGGATAGTGCACACCAAATGAAGCCTTATAGTATTTAATAAAAAATCATATTAGTCTTTAAGGTCTATGTTTTCAGGCTTGACACTAGTCCTAGTAATTACTAATTTAAAAAACTTGAAAGTAGCACTTGGATCAAATTCAAATTTTTAAAGTGGGAACCAAACCTCATCAAACGAATCTGACTCTTTTATAGTTGACTGAACTGTAGATCTATGTCTGTCAACTGTTTTCTTGGTATCACTCTCCAACATCTTATCCCTGCATTATATTTTATAAAGATAAGAAGTGACACAATTTTTGGAATAAGAAACTCAGTTAAAAATCAGCTTCACAACCCATGGAATTCCAGTAAACACTATTAATACAAAGTATGTATAAAATAGCTTCAAAAAAATGTTCCACAGTTCAAGACAACTAGCTTGGAAACATCTTAACTAGCAACTTCGCATGGGTATCTGTACTGCTTGAATGAGGGTCCAGGTGAAAAACTAGCTCTCTGGTAGAGAGGCATGCTTTAGTACCATAGTACGACCATTGGACCCATATCCATTAGATAGGCTTTTCTTTCTTTGTTATTTCTAGGGAATGAATATTTGCCAACCAAATCTTACTGACAAGATAATGATATATGAAAGCCATGACTCATCATGTAGAGAGGTAAAAGGTAATGATATCTTGACCAAGCTCTAAGTTCATTTTCTAAAGCATTGTCTTGGACATTGACAAGATCCATTTGATACTACTAAGATTGTGGGGCAAAGAGTCACAAATACTGAATATCATAATGCTTTCACATAACAGAAGAAATTTCATCGCCTCAGAGGACGTGAAAAATATGCAAATTTAATAATCAGTGCGCCTGTCTTCAATGTTGTTAATATAGCCTCTAGATTCAACTCTTGCTCATCCATTTTTTCTTCCCCATGCAATTATTCACTTGTTCGAAGAGTAGCCACATGCCATATTCAATTTTTTTATGTGGTGGTAATTATTCAATGAAAGTAAATTATCAACCACAGTAACAGTTGTAGGATAAAATTCTGTAATGTAACAAATTTCATATTGAAGAAATGAAATGTCTACTGTGAAAGCTAAAGTAAAGTTGAGCAAATGCTGATATTTATCGTTGTTAAAGCCAGTAGCACAAAGACAAGAACAACGAAGTACGTTCGAAAACCCTCCAAACGTTTTTGTGAATGGCTTTTACATCACTACAGCAAAAGCATATGACTAGAACTTACAGTTGCTACCCCGGTCTTTTTCAATTGTTAGTATGCAGCTTTCAGATCAAACGATTTCATGACCTTTATTTTACTCCAAAAATGTAAAGTTTTGATGCCTGAATCTCGGTGTCAATGAATATATGCATGAACCTATTAGAATGCAAAAAACAGTAAATCCAGACTTTGCCTCATAGCTTACGTTATCATCCCAAGTTCTTCCATGCACTCCATCAACTTCTTGTGCCTAACATAAAAGAAGTACATGCATGAATTTAATAAATGAGAAGCTGGTATTTTGTTAAAACATAAACAAACATTGTTCCAGTTACCCTGTTGACAGAAATTCAGCTGCTTTCACATTCGAGGGACTCTCCAGCCATGTACTGTATTTAATAAAGCTCTGCATCCAATGAGAGCAAACATCAAATGCTTGGCGCATTGCTTCAGCATTTGGAGGATTGTCTTGTTTACTTCTATGCATGTGTAACTGTTTTGTAATGCTGGTGATTCCCGGATAAAAAGGAAGCCAATCCAGCTCTTCACAAACTACCTATGCAGTTAAAGGGCTTCAACCAGTTGAAATAATTTAATTATTAATCATGTGTCAAATGGAATGGCCACAAATACTAACCTCCACATACAATTGATATGAACTAATGGATGAGAGCTGAGGGTAGTATAAAACACTGCCTCCAATCAGATACCTATAACAAATAGTTATATAAATAAACAAATGCACAAGAATTCATAGAAAGCAAAAACCAGTTAAAGAGAAAGGTGAAGAAGTTACAGGAATTTGATGGAAAGGAGAGAAGAGATACTATTGTGCTGATATGATGTGTGTAAAGTTACAAACCTAATAAACCAATCTATACTAATTATCTAGGTCAAGTACTAATGTAGTACAGGTAGCATAAGCCCAGCAAAGAAACTACTAACATAGCAAGACTCCCAAAACAATAAAAAACATCATATTCTAACACTAGAAACAACATGTAACAAAAGTTGTACCTGATGAAATCTTCAATTGAATCATCTAGTGTATCAAAACCATTTGCCAAAAGATATGACCGTGTACTTCTGCCTAAAGCAATAAAGAACCCAAATACAGCCAAATCCTTCTCCAAAACCTGCACTAAGCCAACTTTCAATTTAAGCTTTTTGTCACAACAAAGCACATAAAAGAATGGAAAAGGACTTAGCTCTATTATTTTTCAATTCAACTCATCTCTTCATTTTTTATTTTATTTTTTATGTAAAGTTCTTCCTCTTGAAATTTTTTAATAGAAAGTAAACTGAGCTCAACTTTTTAAGTATATTCTTTCACATTGAAAAAAAAAATTTATTTCTAGACATTATGAAATACTTTTCTGTTTCAAAGCCCACCCAAAACACATAAAAGAATGGAAAAGGACTTAGCTCTATTATTTTTAATTCAACTGATCTCTTAATTCTTATTTTATTTACGTAAAGTTCTTCCTCTTGAAACTTTTTAATAGAAGGTAAACTGAGCTCAACTTTTTTCACATTGAAAAAAAAAATTATTTCTAGACATTATGAAATACTTTTCTGTTTCAGAGCCCACCCAAGGCACATAAAAGAATGGAAAAGGACTTAGCTCTATTATTTTTAATTCAACTCATCTCTTAATTCTTTTTATTTTATGGGTTTAGTGTGTGTCATTCAAAAGTGTTGTGTCCTTTTAGTGACTTACACGGAGTATGACCGGTCATACTCCGTGTAATTCTGAAAAGTTGCTTTTTTTTTCACTTTACACGTCAGCAATGTGATTCAGAAGAGAAAAAAAAAGCAGCTTTTCAGATTTACACAAAGTATGACCGGTCATACTTTGTGTAAATCATTTAAAAGGACACAACTTGTGTCCTGTTAAATGATAGTCTTTTTTCCCTTATTTTATTTACGTAAAGTTCTTCCTCTTGAAACTTTTTAATAGCAGGTAAACTAAGCTCAACTTTTTAAGTATATTCTTTCACATTGAAAAAAAAAATTATTTCTAGACATTATGAAATACTTTTCTGTTTCAGAGCCCACCCAAGGCACATAAAAGAATGTAAACGGACTTAGCTCTATTATTTTTAATTCAACTCATCTCTTAATTCTTTTTATTTTTTTTACATAAAGTTCTTCCTCTTCAAACTTTTTAATAGAAAGTAAACTGAGCTCAACTTTTTAAGTATATTATTTCACATTGGAAAAAAAATTATTTCTAGACATTATGAAATACTTTTCTGTTTCACAGCCCACCCAAACAAAACAAATTTCAGGAACAAAAATGTATGAATTGCAGATGTCAATACAATTAAACTAAAGTCACAAACAGAAGGCCATAACAACATTAATCAATAAGAATTTGTAAAATAGTGCATTTCAAGCACAGTATAGGTCTCAGTATGGTAGTTTAATTGTAAGTGTAGTCATTTCAACTGAATATGTATTCATAGACATTCAATCCAACATCATCATTCTGGAAGGGTCAAAACCAAGCTGTCTTCGGAATTGAACATAACTAACCTCAATACTTTCAGATGTTGTCAGCCTTGACCATATTTTCTCCTTGTCAATAGCTTGCTGCAGCTGCCTCTGAGCAAGATTTACCCAGAAAACAACCTCTTCTGAACCCCACTCAACTTCTGCTCTACAAGCCGCGGCTCTAGGACCAAAATGTACAAGAAATTCTCTTTGCAGACCAACATCCTTTATAGAATTATACGCTTGACTTATAGGAATTATACCAACCAGCATGTCCATCAAACTACCAGTTATCTCTGTAGTCATGGAAAAGAATTGTGAACAAGAAACTTTTGCTGGGCCAAGTTTAGCAATTGCAGCAATGCATGTTAGTGCAAGCAGGAGAAGTGATACGTCACTTGCACCACTTAAACCCATATTTTTTCCAGACCTGGGAATTCAGTCAAAATATTATTTATACATAGTCTATAAATATAATAATATGAAGGAACAAGAAATGAGCAGTAAAAGTTAAGAGAGAACATACAAAGCAATGGCAGCAGTAAAGCGTCCATCCCCTTCAAACTTATTAACGAAGGAGGTCACTACAGCTTGAACTTGCTCTGACCAAAACCATTCATATGCTTCAGGCTGTTTTGTTGATAATTTTTCTCTGATTAAACTCTCTAGGGGAGCAGACAGCCTTAGCAAACTGGTCAATGAAACATTTGAACAAGTTTTAGTCCCAAAGCAACTAGGGAGTAGTATAAAATATTAAAACTAAACAAATATAGAAGAAAAGAAAAGAAAAACAACCATGAAACAGAGCAATAACAGTGAATCAAAGATTAGAAGGGAGTCAAAATAGTTTACAAGTATACAATCATTTTGTGTATGGGTAGAAAATTGAAATGATATTCAAAATTCGTCTGTTTGATATAAAATTCTATATGAAAGGTACAACACAAGTTACTACCTTAAACACAAGTCCATATATTCAAACCAGATGGTTCTCACAATATTCCATAAATTTTAGATTTCATCAGGAAAACTATATATACATGTACACGTATACATGCACACACACATACACACACACACACGCACGTGCATGCATATATATACATAGTAAACTTCAGAATTTGACATTAAGATGTACAATAGCTATAGAAAACATATTTCAATGATATACAAAGTAAAACGGCTGAACTAAGGGGGTGTTTGGTAGAGGAGAAATTTTTTTTATCCGAGAATCACGATTTTCAGGAATATGATTGGAAAATGAGTTTTCCGGGAATGTTACCCAAAAGTTGTTTGGTAGGCTAAAATATTTCCGGGAATATTGGGTTAATTTTCTTGATACTATATTTGGTTATATTAAAATTTTCTTGTCATAGAAATCTTAAGAATACCACCCCGTGGGTGGTATTCTTGGATGGAATTTTCAAAAATATTTACACACAAAATAAAATCTCGGGAAAATTTTAAAATTCTCATACCAAACGTGGATAAATAAGATTACCACCTTCAGTTTCCCAGGAATCCTAAAAAAATCTTTCTACCAAACGGCCCCTAAGTATCTAATGAAAAATTTCTGGTACAGCTATTACAACACTTCTTCACACAAGTTGAAGCATAGAATTTCTATTTCCTTCTGAAAAATGAGTGGTGGCATGTTTTAGTTTGCTAAAGTTTGATACCAAAGACAGAAAAAAATGAACCAAAATACAAAGCAACATGCTACCTCTTTTGAACAAATACATTGACATTTCTGTCTCTACCATCACTTCGGGATGAAATTTCACTTGCAGCATGCAATAAGGAGTACACAGCAGCCTGAGAGAATTTATGCAACCTGTTTCTCAGTTCTTCATAAATTATTGGAAAATTTTGAAACAATGAGGTCAAAGTGAAATATGACCAATGGGATAGTAACAGTTCTTGAAGCAAAGGCAATAGCAGAAACATTAACCAGATTCATTCGTGACAAAGCATACATGCTTCTGATAATACAAATGATGTTTGTTTGGAAGATATTTTTGTAAAGAGAAATAATGTGTAGTAAAGAAGGTGAAGACAAATGACCCTAGTCCTGGGTGGTCTAAAAACGGACGATACGCTAAATTATCCAAAGCTGGAAACTGAATTGCCTGCTTGTCAATAATAAAGGGTCTCTTTTAAGAGCCATATCAAAATTTTCTTAGTTCACAATTATTAAATACAACCCTCCAAATTTGTTAAAGCCAGCCATGAGGTCAATTTGTTGGATAAAAAAGATAAACATTACTTCAAAATATTGAAACATAAAAGTAGCACCTACTTACGAACATATAAAATAGGTAGAAAGAGATAAGTCAATGAACTAAAACCAATCCACATGTTGATAATTCTTTCTGCAGCTATGCAGTAATAATTTGAAAAGTCATATCACGACCAGATTGGCCTAGGAGGAGGAGAGAACTGCAGTTCTGTTATAATGCCTTCCAATAACAAATGCAGTGGTATTTGCATCACACTAATGCATTTAACAGTAAGCAGAAAAGAAAGATGATTAGTTTCTTGCCCTCTTGATATACTGTACATCTGCTCTACTGATGAATCAAGCAGACAATTTTTATTAATAACAAGCTCATATTATGGATAAAAAGCTCACAGACACGCATTGGCGGACCTACATGGTTGCCAATGTGTGTAAGTGCACACGTAAATATTTTTTTTTCGTTTCAATAGCAAAGCTTGATATATGCAAATAGTTGGTGAGCCATTTCTACTACTGCAAGATTTGCTACGTGAATAGCATTTAAAAATAATTAATAGCTTGAAATAGCATTTACAAAAAATGAGATATGCGTTGAATAGCAAAGCTTGACATACGTGAAAAATTTTCTTTTTTCTTGTTTATATTCTTTTATTTTATAATACATTTAAAAATTTCTTTAATATTTTATTTTCGGGGGTGCTGCCCCCAAACCCCCACCACTAAGTATGCAAACATAAATAAAATTTCCTAGGTCCGCCACTGTGTACGTAGCTCTCAATGATTTTGACTGAAAACAGAAAAGGATAATACGTTCTATTAACTATGATATTTATGTCCTAAAGTACATGCCTAATGAGGGAACGCTTCTTCTATGAAGCACCGACACTTCAAAAATCCTGACGTGTCGTGTCCGACACTTCTCGACACTCTCTGACACTCTAACACGCGTTATAGAAATTCAAAAAAAGATTCAAAGGTTGCGTTGCGTTGAGTTTTTAGTTCCAACTATTAGATTTTTTGAATTACGATTACCATTTTATTGAGTTTGATATAAATATTTGGGATATCTTATGTTTCTTTGCAAAATTGATGAATATTATAAGTTTAATTTCACTTTTTTGTTAAATTATTGAATATTAAATATAATATACACTACATAATTAAAAATATTATTTAATATCAAAATGTGTCCTAACGTGTCGAAATCTAATATTTTTTGGAATTAACGTGTCGGAGTGTCGTGTCGTGTCACGTGTCCCGTGTCGGTATCAGTGCTACATAGCGCTTCTTCACATAACCATAACTATGCTTGAATATTGTCATACAATGGTGCATGTTTTTGTCAGAACACCATCAAAGGCATGCAAAATAAAACATAGTCATCCTTTTTCCTTTCACAATTCATCTAGCACATATCTGTATAAGCTGCATGAGTTAGACAATAGAATGACATGCTATTGCAAAGGCTGTCTGTCAAAATTTCATGTTCACATGACAAATGCATGTCATAATTTACACATGATATAACCCAAATAATATTATCAAATAGAAGTCATGATAATACCTGACATGACAGTGCCTTCACCCATGCATTTTGGTCTACCCCAAGCCAGGCTGTTGAAAACCAAGATACTCGTGAGTACGATTTATGCTCTTTAACTGCCAGCTCAAAAACCCTGGCTGCGTCATATAAAGCTTGGACAAGTCCATCACAAAAGTCTTCATCTTCCACTGACCTATTCAATTTCACCCTCATTTTTTCAAGGTCTGTACTGGTGCCAGGTTGGGGGCTTCCATTGACAGTTACACCATCGTCAGAAGAGGCAAATGGGAACAGATGTACCCTCCTTCTAGGTCTCGAAAACATTAAATAGCATTTTCTACAGCCCACCAAACTATGACCACTGTTCGATAACAAATCATGTTGTATGAGACACCCCTTCCTTGAACTACCCCATTTACTTAATAGTATGCAATGCAAGTCCGACCCTTTTCTGCTTGCATAAGGGGAACCATTCGAAAGCCAACAATTCGAGGAGCTGCCAAATGATATGCAATTAGAAACAGCACACACATTCAAGAAGAATTATACGCAAGAACTAGCCTCAAAGGAATGCAATAAATACTCAAACAATGAGCACTAGTTCAACCACACAATTTCATGGGGCGGTGTAACCTTGTATTCTAAGTCTGTAAGTATTACATCATGACTTTAAAAAGTTAAGAAATTGCTAATTTTACCCACAATATATAACTGTATCATCTAAATGCCAGTATACCATTGTAGCCTCTCAAACTTAGTAATATCACATATTCATTTCATTAAAACCATGCATCATAAGGCATAATGCCAAACTTCATTTCATTGAAAACACACATTTTAAATCAGCAATAGGTAAGAGTTTAAGAGAAAAACCAAAATAGGGAAAACCGAAGGAAAGTAAACACTTCGTGAACTACAACAATTACCGTTACAAATTTGCTGAATCAGTTTAGGTGAATGCTACATAACAAAAAAGAAAAAAAAACGTTTCAATTGTAACCTATCAGGAAAACCTAGCTGCGTCCATCATACTCACTCAGCGAACAAGAATGTAACCTCTGCAATACAAACGAGAATAAAAGAGAGAAATCGATCACCTTAACGGTAGAAAGTTGCTGCTGCTGTGCAATTTAACTGCCATGAAGTGGATGCAGAATCCGAGAGAAAATTGAGCTTCGGTGGCCGGAGAGAGAGAAAACAGTGAAATAGCGGAAAAGCTTGCGTATTCGAACAGACACGGAGAGAAAGAAAGAAGGAAATGCTGACGTGGCACCGAGGGTGCTTTATCCGAATACGTGGAGTACCCACAAATCACATACCATTGTTTTTGGGACAACCCCACTTTGTACACGGACTTTTTCTTGTATGTCGGGATATTTTTTTATTTTTTTAATATCTCCCTCCCATCTTTTTTTCGATGAATTAATCTGGAGTTCGGGCGAGTTTAAAATTAAAATTTTAAATTTCTCTTAAAAATATTAGTGAAGAAGATCAAATACATATTATTTGGTTATATCCAGATAATTTAGATGGATTATTATCAGACTTGTTATAAGCAGTGTTTTAAAACTTGACCCCTACTCCCGGGTCAACAGTTAGACCCTACATACAAATTGATCCCTGAAATCCAGCCGGGTCTTGGCGACTCTCGAGTCAGAGGGGTCGGGGGGTCACTGCATTTTGTTTTAATTTCATACGAAACGACGTCGTTTTGTGAAAAAAAAAAAAACCGTTGCTAATCTAAATCCCACACGTCTTCACCTCGGTGGTTCCTCCTCTGCGGCACCGCCTCTTCGGTCTTCCCTCTATGTCGCATCGCCACCTCTCCTCCATTGTGGTGGTTCTTCTTTTTACCAATTCACTCTTTTTTTTAGTTGGTTTCTTTGCTCTGACTTATGTTGCTATAAAATCATGCTTTAGGGTTTATAAACACAAGAGAACGTATTATACATGCATTAGACTTAGAATCACCCAAGTACATGCGTTATGCTTAAATTTGATATTATAGAGAGAAAGTTCTTTAATCTTCTTCTTCCTTTGTTTTTCTTTGTAATTCTGAATTTAGGGAGGTTGTTCTGCTTAGTGATCCTAGGGTTTAGGTTAAGAGTGATTAAGGGGTTGGTCACGATCTTGTAAAATTCCAATTTCAGTTTTGGTTTTTGGTTCAAGGGGAGTGATCCTAGGTATAACAACCATCACTGTCAAATAAATGACAGTGAATTAACCAAGTGTTTAAGTGGAATTTAAACACGTATTCAAGGAATTAATAAACGGTAAATCATGTAGTTGACATGATAAACAAGTTAAGAATACAATTCATGCCAAACAAGTCTAATAGGACCCTAAAATAAGTATGAGGTATATGTGGGGTCATAGATGTCATTATGTGAAAAATCAGGATTACTTTGGTAATTGACCAAGGTTAAGTCAAAGGTTGATTTTGGTGATGTAATTAAATTCTATGGTAAATTCTATGGATTCAAAGTGATATTATTATGATCAAACCATGTCTAGATTAATTTCTAAAAATAAGTCAAAGTAAGGAAAATTAATAAACCAATGAAAGTTGGTTTAGGTCAAAGTTGAATGCAAAGTTGTTAAGTTAGCAACATAACTTAACTTTGTGAATTCTTTGCATGACTTTTGATGTATGATTGATTCTTTGAGACCTTGTATGTTTTATATTCTTAAAGGTCAAAGTTAAGTGTTGACTAACTAATAAGAATCAAGGTTTGACTAGTCTTGAATAAATGGACCAATGGTTGTAAGGTTTGAAAGTCTAAAGGTGTAGAACATGTCAAGTAAGCAATCCTAGTCATCCTTGCACATGGTGGACGGTTCACTTGGGTGGAATGGATCTAGAATGTTGTAGAGAAAGATGACAAAGCTAGTGGGAAGACAAAGGACCAATAGGATTTCAACTAGTGTTTAAAGTTGCAAAGTGTAAAATTAAGTAACTTTTTGTAATTTTTTTATGCATAACCGGTCATCTTTGTGCTTCTAAGTCCCACGCATGCTTTTGTCCTTCTTCCTCCTCTCATGGTTGAACCATAAGAGCTAGAGAGAGAGAATGATGTTCTTGGAATTTTAAGTACTTTTTGGAGAAAACTCATTACACAAAAGTTGTAGTACTTGGTCTTGTGAGCTTGAATCTCTTTTCTTTTCTTCTTGAAGAGTTATGTAGAGAGAAACCCTCATCCAAAGAGTATTGGTACTATTCATCTGGAGAGAGAAATTTAGGATTTTTGGAAATTGATTGGTGGAAAAGAAAGCTTGGTGTTCAAGGAAGTCATTCAAGGTATTAATTCTTAATTTTGATGGTTGGACGACAATTTTTCATGAGGTTAAACTTTGATTAAGATTTGTGAAGATTATGAACATTTTGATGTTGTTTGATGTGGTTTGAAGTTGTTTTGAGGTTGTATGCTAAAACTATGTAAAACTATGCTTGAAATTGTTTAAAACAAGTTAAAGAACCTTGTATTTTCATAACATACAATTCAGCCAGCAAGAGATAAATTGTGTAAATTATGTGTTTCATGAAATGTTAAATGAAATTAAGGTTGTAGGATAATTTAAAGATGCTTGGTTAAAGAGAAATTAATTGGAAAATGTGAGATTAAACCATTAATGTTGAATTAAGGCCATTCAGCCATGCATGCTTAAAATAGCTAGGATTAATGTTTGGTTGGGTTTAATTAATTAAAGTGTTCCCAGTGTATGTTTAATTAAGATTTAAAGTGGTTTACATTAAAAAGAAATCAAATGAATGACATAGAAATCAAATAAGTGTCATTGGAAAACATAGAGTGTTTGTGTCAAGTAATGATTATTTAATTAAGGGTTTTATAATTCTCATTCAACATGAAAATTGAAATCTTCCTACAGACCCTTCGATTTTCGTGCTGACGTGGGTCCTACACATAATTTTTTCTAACATATGGGTCCCACATGCTTTTGTCTCTACAACATAAGATTTCAATTCTCATGTAACATGAGAATTATAAAATCCTTTAATTAAACTAGAGTGTTTAAAGAATTGTGTAGTTTAAATGAATGTGGATTATAAGGTGATTAAGTTGGCTAATCATGTAGAATTATGACATGCATAATTCGGCCAACATGAATTCAACACATAGGAATTATGTAATTTGATAATTAAATGTTGTGTAATGTTCAATTAATAAAAATAATGAAGATTGAACATTGTTTTAATTGGATTTGATGTGAGGAAAGTAAATGAATTTACATAGGTGTCAATATGGCTATGTAAAGAAAATAATAAAGGAAAAGAAGTTAAATTTATATTATGTAAGTTGTAAACATGATAATTTGTAAAGAAAGTTACACTAATGAAGTGTATGTAATTGTGTGTGAAAGAATGTAAGTTAAAGTGTTGTGTAAGGTTGTGTGATGTTTATGAAGTGAAATCAAGTAAGTTTCAAGTGATTTTAAGGTATTATATTTGGTTAAGACTTGTGTGGTATGACATGAACTGTTAAAGTGAAAGTTAATAAAAAGAGTGATTAAAGGAATTACCAAGTGGATAATTAAGTTAATATGTAAATGGTATTTGGTTGTGTGTATAGTGATATGTGTATTCTGAATTGATGATTGATTGTATTTTTATGAATAATATCAGAGTTTAAACGCACACAGTAGGTGGACGTAAAGAGTGCAGGTTGTGTGGACAACAGGTTATAAATAGGCAACTGATCAGGTAAGTTGTCAGTTTAGGAGCTTTCTCCGTCTTAATGTTCTGCCATAATCAAATGGATGATTATGGTTTCTGTTTGGAATATCTATAAGAAATGTTAACCCTAGCATACATTGCATTCATATAGCATTAATAATTATATATGATTGGTATAATTTAAATAATATGGTCTTGTATGAAGGACATGGCGTAGCCATGATGAGTTTTGACCAGAACATTAGTCCCCTTTGACTAACAAAATTTTAGCTCAATCGGCGCAAGTTCAATAATTGCTGAAATACCCGATATGTCCTTCTATGACCTAAAAATATCTAAAACAGTTGGAATTTGGAAAAAATAGGGGTGAGCTCACTTCCCTTACGAAGTGAGTCTTTCTCAAAAGGCATATTTCCTTCATGAATAAAACTACTGAGAATGATCTGAGTAAGATAGGTGTCTTTTCAGTCACCAAAACTACACAAAGTCCCCGACAACGACGCTAAATTTGACGTGAGCTGTCGAACTCACTCAAATAATCAGGTTTATAAAAGTTTATAATATATGGGACAACCTGAATCGTCTCTCAAGGAATTTGCATAAGACTTGGTTTGCCGAGTTCAAAACAGATAATTAAATGGGGGATTTTCAGTTTGATTAAAATTAAAGCAAGAAGTAAAGATGAAATTAAAAAAATTAAAAACAACTAACACAGAATTGAGGTCCAAGGACATCCGTCATCGGACATAAAATTACTAAATTCGTGGTTAACCTAAACAAATCGGAATCCCTGCATTTATTTAGGAACCTTCTATACTAGACGATTGTATAACATTTAATCAAACACGGTGTGTTCACTTGTGCAATCACACGATACTCACTTCAAACGGTTTGATTTAAGGTCCTTGTGTTTAATCAACCTGGATCTTAAATCTAACATTCAATCTATTCACAAAATGTAAGAACACAAATGAAAATAGAAACGTAAACAGAAACATAAATAAAAACATAAACAGAAACGTAAAGACGGAAATGTAAAGTATAGAAATTTAAATTATAGAAACGTAAATTGCTGAAACGAAAATGAAAATGAACAAAAAATGAAAAAGAACAAAAAAAAAAGAAACGAAACAGAAAATATAAATACAAAACAGAAAAGATAAACAAAACAGAAATGAAAGTAACAAGAAATATAATCAGAAACATAAAACAAAATGGGACAGAAATAAAATAGAAATATAAACAAAATAAAAGAAGAAAACAAAATAGGTGCAGAAACAAGAAACAAAATAGTAAAAAAGAAAATAGAAACAAAGAAACATAAACAAAATAGTTAAGGGAAGGAAGCAAATTCAGTTAAGTTGATTAAAGGTCATTAAGATTAGTCCATGGAATCTTAACCTATGGGTTGATTACAACGTTTAGCCTAGCATGGCAAAAACAAAAATTGAAACTAAAAGAAAAGTCAAGAACATGAACAAAAGAGAGAAAATGAAAGATTTGTGT